ATTTAAAAAATAAGTTGACACAGAAATGTTTTTCAAATATCTGGGAAAAAATATTTGGAAATGTTGACGCCTTGAGCAAAATGGTTGAGTTTCTTCTGTTATCAATCTAGGAGTCAACAATTTTGATATTGGCGGGCGGATATTTAGACACTTCTCCATAAGCAGTTTCTCAGTACAAGTGACGAGTCCTTTATACGCAGTTCAGTGTCTCCTGCAAAAGTATGTAAGATTATATCCTGTATAAAATGTCATCAGGAGGATTTGCTTTTCGTGATTTGATGATTTTCTGGTCATATGAATATTATTTGCAATGGATTAACTAAAATAACATTTCAACTAGACTAATTTTACTTCCTACCAAAATTTATATCCTCATGGTGTTAAAAATTAAAATAAAATTAACTTTCTTTTAATCATTTTACCCCAAGCAAGACCATAAAGCCACTAGAACGCAAGAGGTTACTGAGTGTTACAGAATATGAGAAAAACTGCTATTAAGGAGTGAGGACAATAAAAGAATAAGAATGGAGAAAGCATACGATAATGATTGGCATTGCATTTAAATTTTTGAAGAACAAAGTTGACTGGCAAACAAGAAACCTGAAGTGTTCCACAAGCAAAAGAAGAAACTATTAGCATAGAACTTACATTCACATCTAGACATTTCAACTATAAAATGATGAGACCTTATCGCCAATCAAGTACTGCGCTTAAAGCCATAAAGGATATATACCATAGAGGAGAGTCCATCAGAACAATTACCATGAATGTATTTATGCTAAAAGCATAGGGAAACTATATTACGGCGGTGGAAAAGAGTCTGAAGCCGAAATTTGGTATCATTTATTGGATTATTCTTTCTTTATATTACACTATTATACTTTCTTGTACAAATCAAGACCAGCTTTTCAAGTATTCATAATTAAAAGAAGTTGATCATACTTGAGATCATCAAGTCAATGCGAACGATCCTTTCCTTAGCTACATATGTGCTTCGCCAGGGCTATATACAGTTTTGAATTCAGAGTTTTCCTTCTCCTAAACCGGTTGCCACTCAAGGCTATAGAACACACTCTATCCGACTATTTACCCATTGCTAAGGCGAGAAAAATTAGCTTCATACCTTTCCAAATTAACGTCTCCCTAAATATGTAAGTACTTTAAATTTAGTGGAATTAGGTAGCAATTCTCCATTCAAACAAGACCTGTTGATAACAATAGACATACTACGTCTATTAAATATAAGCCTCGTTTCTTCTAAACTGTAATCTTCTAATCTATAATCTTCAACTACTGCAGATGCAAGAAATATCCAAAATCAAGAGTAGGTCCAAGTTTTTGACTCGCAACAGTTATCATCAAGGCTGTGTATAAAATATACTACTGTAGTTTTTGTAGGTTGTATAATAGAATCCGAAATAAAATGATGACGAGAGAAAGTGGAAAATTTTATTAAAGACGCGTTTCGCCGGAGAAGCTTATACTCTCTTTGGCTTCTTCAGTTTAAATGAAAGGAAGACACTACTGTTTGTGAGGAAAATGGTTGGGATCTCTGAAGATAAGTGGGTATCATATATCAAATTAATTACCCTAGCGTATAACCTCCTAATATCTTGGAGAGTATCTGTCCGTCTGTCTGCTTGTTTTTTTTTTTTTTTTTTTATTTATATCTGTATTAGATCCGTTTGGTATTGTGCGGGTTTTTACACACTTTGAATTTATGCGACCCAAAATAGTGTTTTTTAGACGTCTGCATGTAATTCTCTTCCGTTAAATTCTCCCAAAAATAAAATATTCTTTGTTGAAACTTCATTTGAAGAATATTATTTGATTTAGCATATAATTAATTTGATTTAAAAGAAGTATTATTTACTTTAAGTTTAAAATATCGCAAAAATTCATTTTGAACACGACAGTGTCCGTGTTTTTAACTCTGTTTACGTGTTTGACAAGGGGATGACAAAATAAATCCTATACTACAGAGAAATTATCTGTAAAATATAATTGAATAAAAAAGACGTCAACGTCTTTTTTTATTTAATTTTTAAGTACTCAGTAATCCTTAAAATCTAAGAAAATATTCTTCTTAATCTAATGACCTATTCTTTGGTAATGCCATGTATGGTTGCCCGTATTTACAAAAATCGGAATATTTTTACACTAATAAAAAAAATTCAAAATTATTTTTAAAATATTGATGTTTGATGATTTGTATTAAACTTTTACATTTATTATTAGTAAATATAGTTTCCATTTAATATCATCTAAAAGTCTTAAATGAATACAGAATTTTAAAAGATTTAAAATTTAATAATTTTTTCTAATTGAATGTTTAAAAAGAATGAAAACAATTCTTGTAAAAATTCATTATTCATGGTAAAAATGTTTTTCTTCTATCAATAGTGTTCTTAATATATCTTATTTATAAAAGCAATTAAAATCTTTTCTTAATAAATAGCGTCATAGTTTTATTACATTTTTTTTTATTTTTCAATTCAGA